TGTCTATATGTAAAGGACAATTTGACATTAGTTCTGTAGGCATCTGAATTTTAATAACGATAGTGGCAGTTTTGATATGTTTCCCACAGTCTCAGGGAGAGTATATGGATCTCATTCTCGTATGTTCAGTTGTGGTTTGTGTTGGAGTAGTAAACGCTGTAAATAAACTTTTTTCAATTGCACTTAACTGTATTGCCTTTCAGTCTCAGTTTGTTTTTACATTGTGCATGAGGTTGCCTGTGCAGTAGAATCTATCTGTCACTACTGGAGACTGTAATAGTCCAACATCCTCAGGTGTAATCAGAGATTTTGAGAGCCAATTCATATCTGGAAATTACTGTGAGGCCAAATTTCAATCTTTTCCTTTCAGCATCCACTGGCTGTGTAAGAGTGAGTCTTCCCTTGTGCTGCCAGTCTGTATCTCAGTTCATGTCTCCTGTAGTGAATGGGAAACAGACAAAGTTCTTTAATTGTTGGTACCTGTGGGAATCATGTGCAAGTGAAAGGCAACACACTGCTCCAGAAAGGATTCTGTGCTGTTCCTCAGATTCAAGACTGGAAACGCAATGGACCTTTGTAACTTGTATAGCGCAGAGTCGAACAGGGAGTAATGATATAAAGTGTTGACCGTCAGAATAACATCAGTTTCTTTTTCAGTGTTTAGTCATATGCTTTTCTGAATAATGCTAAAGTAGCAATCAGTGTAAACTGTGAAAGTGAATGGCAGTGAACAATTCAACTGCATTGCAGTTGACTGACCACAGTGTCGCTTGTACAGAAAAGACAAATGGGTAATTTATTCTCTGATGTAGACAGGACATTACCCTACTCTGTGCCGTGATGGTGCAAGCAATTAGTGGTACTCTTGTGTTTATCTATGGTAGGGAAGTGGAAAGGAAAAGGAATTTTATTTTCTGTCATGCAGTGCAGCAGATTTAAACTGTGAAACTCAATTTATTGAACAATCAACACTGTTCAACTCTGCTTTGGAACAAAATGAGCGTTTCACAAACCTACCAATTTTGTCTATTTTTATTTTGTCCGCTGCTTTGAAGGGTGACTACTTGATTAAATTGATTCATTGCGAAAATTGTATTCAGATATCTTGCTATTGCTCTGTAATACATCGTAGGGAGGGCTAGGCGGAATGCCAGGCTCTTTGTAGAAAATTGAGATTAATTTTGAAAGAGGTACTAGAGGTTTCTTGCTGGACTGAAAATGACAAAACAAAGTCTATTCCTGAAAGGTGAAGAAATGGAGAACGATGCTGTGATAAAGGTGGGGATGGCAGCTCCTCTGCTGCTATCATACATTTATGTGAATGAAATGTTGGATGAATGGGATGAGAATTATTTGTTTTTGATCGGTGCAGACTCGATAATTTGAAGGACTGTAGACCTCTCTGAATGGCTTTGTGAGTAGAAATCATTCCGAGTGTAACAGTTTCTGTTGCTTGCAATGTATATGGTACTGCATGGCTATTATATGTTGGAACATGTGTTGGGATGATATATGTATTTGACAGTGAGAGAGAGGGGAGGGTGCAAGAGAGGCAGTGAGAGTGTATATTAACAATTCTCTCTATGTCAGGCTTTGGCACAGCATGTGCATTTGGAATTCACATTATTTAAGTGTTGTGACTATGTAGGTGACAAATATTCATTTAAATATTAATTCTGTCTTTCTGTTACTGCTAACTGAAATGTTTGCTTCAATATCTGTACTCAATATCTTCTTCCCATGTGGTTGGTCAAACTAACAGCATCATCTATTTGTTCACCTTGACTGTAATGCTAAAAGTACCCTTACTAAATGCAGATTTAATGCAGTTCCTCTGTATATATTTTGGATGAGGATTCAGTCTGTCATTCCTCAAAAGTTTTTGACAATGTGAATAGTGAAATTGTTTGGAACTGGGTGGCTTGAATTGAGAATATAGATAAAAGATATACACTGGTATTTCCTCAGTGGTGTTTGACTCTTGGTTAGAACACATCTCTCTGGAAATTGCATTCAATGTGTCTGATTCAATCTGCTATCACTGTGGCTAGGGATACCTCCTGTAAACTAACATCAGCCGAGATTGGCAATATCAATCTGATCAATGTAACATTCAGTTAATAATTCATTAGGATTGTTTGTTTAGAGCTAGCTATTTGAACAGAACCAGAGTCTGATTCTACTCCTACCCTGAGCTGCTCCTTATCTGTTTTTTCTTAAAATTCTCATACCCAGTTGAGTGAGATCCAAAAACTAACCAACACCGATACAGCTGCATGAGTGGGACTACGTGATGCAAGTGGGTATATGGATATGTGAGTTTAGTTATCGATCTATACCTAAGTCAGTTCCCGCTTGTTGAATGCGTGAGTGTAGTTACAAATATGTACCTGTCCGTATATGCTATGTTAATTTTTTTGAATAATTTCACATGTAGCGAGATACAGTGAAATGCTCTGTTTAAGAGCAGTACAGGCAGATCACAGTAAGCAAGCATGTACAGATCAAAACAACTTAGACAGAGGCATGCAGGTTACATTTCACAGGGTGTGCACTTGGCAAGATCAACATTAGCAAGATCGTCATTATTTGAGGCTAAAGAGTCGATTCACCAATTTAATAACGGCCAGGAAGAAGCTGTCCCTGAACCTGCTCATCTGTGTGTTCAGGCTTCTGTATCTTCTGCCTGACGCAAGAAGTTGTAGGAGATCATTCATCCCTGGAACATCTAGACAACAAAGCCACCTACATCAGACTCCTGCTCATTGACTACAGCTCCGCCTTCAACACCATTATCCCGTACAGACTGATCTCAAAACTCCGTGACCTTGGTCTCGGCTCCACCCACTGCAACTGGATCCTCAAATTTCTGACCCATAGACTGCAATCAGTAAAGATAGACAACTGCATCTCCTCTACAATAACATACAACACTGGAGGCCACCCCCAAAGAATGCGTCCTCAGGCCCCTACTATACACCCAAAACTGTGGTGCAAAATTCCAAATGAACACCATCTACAAGTTTGCTGATGACACCATCGTAGCGGGACACATATCTAACAACCATGAGTCAAAACCCAGAAGGGAGATAGAGGGCTTGATGACATGGGTGCAGTGAAGGCAACCTCTCTCTCAACAGAAACTACAGAACTGATCATTGACTTCAGAAAGAAAGGAGGAGCACGCCCCGCCCCCCCACCCACATCTACATCAATGGAACTGAGATTGAGAGGGTGGAGAGCACCAAGTTCCTCGCAGTAACAATAACCAACAACTTGCCCTGGACTTCCCACGGAGATGCAACTGTCAAGAGGACAACAATGCCTCTTCTTTCTCAGGCGGCTCAGGAAATTTGGCATGTCCATAGGGACTCTCACCAACTTCTACAGATGCACAATTGAAAGCATCACTGTCTGGGTGCATAATGGCCTGGTATGGCAACTGCTCTGCCCAGGACTGTAAAAAAACGACAGAAGGTGGTGTGCACAGCCCAGTCAACCTGTTCCTGTCGGTGTCTGTAAATATACTTACATAGTCACACAGCAGAGACTGACAGGGACAGGTTGATAACTATAGTACCATAAAAATGACACAGCACAGTGTGGACGATTCAGCCCATTTGCCCGTGCTGACCCCAAGACCTCCAGATGCCTCTCCTTGCTCTATCTTCCTGCACACCGCTTGTAACCCTGCAGCTTACAGCACTTAAGGTGCAGATCCAGGTAATTCAGCTTTAAAAAAGTTTAGAGTCTCTGACTCTACCACCAATTCAGACATTCTAATACCACCACCCTCTGCATAAAAAAAAAATCCTTCAGAATCCTCTGATCCTTCAGCCACTTAGCTTCAATCAATGACCTCTGGTTTTTGAACAGTTTCTGCCAAGGGAAACAGGTTCCTCCTGTCTACTCTATCTCTCCTTCTCACAGTTTAGTTTTCTTTAATCATGGCACCCCTCAGCCTCCACTATTCCAAGCAATATAACCCCAATCTCTCCAATCTCTCCTCGTAGCTACAATCTCCAGCCCTGGCAACATTCTAGTAAATCTCCTCTGCACTCCCTCCGCAGCAATTACAGCCTCCCTGTAATGTGGTGACCAGAACTGCACACAATTCTCCAGTTGCGGCCTCACCAGTTCCGTATACAGTTTCACAGTTATATCCCTACTTTTGTATTCCATACCACTGCCAATGAAGGGGAATATTCTACATGCCGTGTTTACAATTCTAAATGCCTGTACTGCTACCTTCAGGGACCTGTGCACCTGCACGCCAAGATCTCTCACTTCATCTACCCCTCTCAGTATATTCTCAATTATTTTCGATTCCCACTTATTGTTTGAGCTCCCAAAGTGCATTATCTCACACATATCAGAGCTGAACTCCATCTGCCACTTTCCTGCCCACGCCACTAAACCAACTGTACCATTTTGCATCTTACAATTATCCTCTACACTACCCACTACATGGCCAAGTTTTGTGTCATCTGCAAATTTCTCAAGTGAGCCCCCCACATTCAAGTCCAAATCATCAACGTAGAAAACAAACAGCAGGGGTCCCAACACTGAGCAATGCTGAGCACCACTTGAAACAGCTTTCTATTCACAAAGGCAGCAATTAACCATTACATTTTGTTTCCTGTTACTGAGCCATCTTTGGACCCAATTCAACACATTACCCTGTATCCCATAGGCTTTTACTTTATGGACCAGTCTACCATGTGGCACCTTGTCAAATACCTTACTAAAATCCATACAGATGACATCCAGTGCACTCCCCTCACATATTCACATCACATAAACTGACAAGCACAGACTGATAACTAAACTGATATATCCACATTGTAGAAACTGACAGAGACTGACTGATAAATATATTTACATATTCACACAGTAGTAATCAGTCACTGTCTATTTCTGCAATATAAATATGTGAATTTAGTTATCAATCTGTTTATATTAGTTTCTGCCATGTGAATGTTTGAGTGCAGTTATCAGTTACCTGTCAGTTTCTGCACTGTGCATATGAGGGTGTAGTAATTAATCTCTAGTTGCAAGCATCTGTTACTTCAAAACATGAGTTTAATTATCAATCTGTACCTGTTAGTTCCTGCTATGTGAATGCATGAGTGTAGTGATCAATCTGTTCTTGTCCTTGTGCTCTGTGAAATGTAGCTTTAAATTTGTCCCTGTCAGTCTAATATGTGAATGCATGAGTGTATTTACCACTCTGTACCTGTCAGTTTCAGGTCTGGGAATATGTAAATATAGTTATCAATTTTTATCTGTCAGTTACTTCTATGTCAATATGTGAATGTTGTCAGCTGGAACTAACAGATAGTAATTGATATGTTAATATGTGAGTGTAGTTATGGATCTGTACCTGTCAGATTCTGCTTTTTGAATATGTGAGTTTAGTTATCAATCTGTGCCTATCAGTTTCTGCTCTGTCAATATGGGAGTATAGTTATCAATATTTAATTGGCAAATTCTGTTCTGTGAAAATGAATTTAGTTGTCCAACTGTACTGGTCAGATTATGCCAAATGAACCTGGGAGTGATATTTTTATTCTGTCCATGTCAGTTTCTGCTATGTGAATATGTCAATGTCGTTATTATTCTGCACCTGTCAGTTTCTGGTTTGTGAATGTGTGAATGTGAAGATGTAGCTATTAATTTGTACCTGTCAGTGTCAGCTAAAAGAATGAGAGTTTCATTGTCGATTTCTGCCTGTTAGTTTCTGCTCTGTCAATATGTGAGTTTAACAATCGGTCTATCCCTCTCAGACTGCTGTGTGAATATGTTTGTGTAATTATCAATCTGTACCTGTCAACCTCTGCTTGGTGAATATGTTTGTGTAATTCTCAGTCTATCCCTTACAGTTTCTGTTATGTCAATACATGAGTTTAGTTATCAGTGAATACCTGTCAGTTTCTTCTATGTGAATATGTGCATGTCATTGTCAATCAGTACCTATGGCAGGAGATGAGTGTAGTTATCGGTCTATGCCCGTCAGTTTCTGCTCTGTGCATCGGTGAGTGAAGTTACCAATCTGTCCCCATCAGTTATTTGAAACCAAGACTGTTATAATCAATCATTCTGCTCTGGGAATGTGTGATTTTACCTACCAATTTCCACCTATCAGTTTCTGGTTTTGAATGTGCAAACGCATTTATCAATGTGTACCAGTCAGTTTTTATTCTGTGAATTTGTATGTAATAACATTATTCTTCCTGTCAGTATCTGCAACATAAATGTGTGAGTGCATTTCCCCATCTGTCCCTGTCAGTTCCAGCTCTATGAATCTGAGAGTTATTAGTCATCAACCTGTACCTGTCAGTTTCCGAGTTTTGAATATGTGAATGCATTTACCATTCTCTCCCAAACAGTTTCTGCTGTGTGAATGGGCAAGTCAAATTATCAGTCCATGCATGTCAGTTTCTGCTGTTTGAATGTGAGAGTGTCATGATAAATCTGTACCTATCAGTTTCCACCATGTGAATGTGAGTTTCATCATCAGTTTTCTTTTGTCTGTTTCTGGAATGTGAATGAGTCAGGAAAGGTATCAATCTGTACCTGTCATTTTCCACTCTTGTGTATCAATGTGCCTTGATTCTCTGGCAGCCAGTAATATTCTCTGTGACAATGCAACACATTCTGATATAGCTATTAGGGTGTTGAGACTGGGTATTAATCTCTTCCGCATTTTGAGACTTCTGAGTTGACTATCAGTTGGCAGGATCTAGGAGGGGTCATAGAAGTGGGACTGTTTTCCTCTGAGAACCATTCTAAATCGACAACACATTTTCTAGTTTGCATGCTGAGTGTGGGTTTTATATACCGCATGAACCGGATGCTGGTTTTCGGTGTCAGTACGGGATTTTTTTTTCAGGGTTCCGTAGTATCAATGAGACATTTAGATTCATTTTGAATTGGACATTGTTAGTGCTCTTTCATTAAAAGTTTCGTTCTGCACCTGTCTGTCTATTTCTACATTATATTTTTATACTAATACTCTATACAACGGAATGTCATTTTCTTTATAACCAGGATCAGAATCAAGATGCAGTGCGGAAGTAGACCATTCAGCCCATTGTGCTTGCACTGGGACATTCTATTCTGCATACTAGTTTCCAGTAATTGTTGGGAATGTGAACTTCTTCCACTCTCTGCCAGTGGCTATCTGTTAGTGCCAATTTGACATTAGTTCTGTATTTATCTGCCAGCTTTGTTATGTCTGCAACAGTCTCAGGTACAGTATATGGATTTCATTCACTTTCCATGTTCATTTGTGGTTTTGTGTCTGAATGTAGCATAAACTCTTTAGATATTCACTGACCCTGTGTGATTGAGGGATTAATTTTGCATTGACATTTGTCCTTACCATGAGGCTTAATTTCATTGCATTCGATCTCAGGGTTTTTTTTTAATTTGAGTGTACAGTAGACTTTGTCAGTCACTGCTGGGCACTGTAACAAACAAACATCTAACACTAACCTCCTCCCTGTTGTGATCGGTGAGTTTGAGTGTCAGTTTACATTTGTCCATATCTGGAAATCTGTGTAAGGAAAATTTCATTCCTTTCCTTTCATCATTCAATGACTGAATGTGAGCGAGTTTTCTTGCATGCTTCTGGGTCCGTATAACTTTAAAAGACTGGTACTGATCCATGTCACACTGACTGTTTCTGTATGGCTCCTTGTGTTTCTAGCTCTGCATGTCATGATCTGATACTCTTCATGAGGTGTGTACTGTAAATCAGTTTTTCATACATTGAGAAAGAGTGTACATGCTTCTGCAAGAGTCACTCTCTCGACCAGAATGTGAGCATGGATCAAGGGAGCTTTCATCAGTACCGGGCTGACAGTGAACATGGAATTTATTCAGTATCTGGCATTATCTGTCAATCTGCTCCTCATTATTTGTCATTGTATTTCACAGTGCAGGAGTATCATTTTAAAATGAACATATCACTTTTAGAAGTTGCAGGAGTTTGTTTGAATGTTCCAATCTCTGCTGCTCGACATAAATGAGTCTTTATCTAATGCCCTCGGTGTCAGGGCCTGTAAGTGAAGATTGATGCATTTCTCCCTTTGTCAGTCTCTGATTGTGTGTTTATTCTGGATTGGTCAGTCTCTGGTCTGAACGTGTATTCCAAACTTTGCTCACGTGTGACTGGCATCCACAGAGAAGAACTTGGAAACTAACATGATTGTGCTCTAGGGATGGTTGAGAGGAACGTCAAGCCCTTTGTAGAAATTTGAAAAAAATTTTGAAAGAGATACACAATGTTTCTTGCTGGACTGAAGGAATAAAGAAAGAAATGTTAACTCCTGTAAGGTGAAGAAATGATAAGGGTGAGGATAGCAGTTCCTCTGCAGCCTCGATAAATTCATGGAAATAGAATGCTGGCTGATTGGGATTAGTGTTGTTAGCTGTGTTTTTTTTTATTGGTGCAGACCAAATGGGCTGAAAGGCCTTTTTCTGTACTGTAGACTTCTATAACTTGAGGGTGTTAGTGGAGATCATTTTGAATGTACCATTTTCTATGATTTGCAGTGTATACAGAACGATTTAGTTGTTCCACATTGTAACATGCACCTTCAGACAGTGAGAGAGTGTGTGAGAGTTAGAGAGGGAGAATTATTCATCAAAGGATTAATTCTGTCCTTCTCAGTCACTGATAAACTTCATATAAATGTGTTTCATCCACTTTAGTAACTCTTGTCCTCTCGGTGAGCAGGTTCTTCCCATTTCTGTACTTAACATCTCGCTGAGGTATGGCTGTTGAAACTATGATCTATTTATTTGTCTTGATTGTAACTCTGAAAATGCCCTTATTCAACGCAGATTTACTACTGTTCCCGAGTGTCTATTTCGGATGACCATTCAGTCTATCCATCTTCAAAACTGGTGTCAATGTCAATGGGCTACATACCTACTGTTTGTTAGAAGCAGCTGGTCACACTTGGCTTTGTACCGAGGAAATATAACAACATCCTGGTCCTTCAACTATTTGCCTGGGGGAAGACAGAAGACACACCTCCTGTAAATCAACATACAGAAAGTCTGGCAGTATTGAACTAATCAACACAACACTAAGTTCATAATCATTGGGATGTGTTTTTTTAAAAAAAAGAAAACTAGCAATTTGAACAGAACCAGAGGTCTTATTCCCTGTTCCCCAGAGCTGCTCCTTGTCTGGGGATTCGATTCTCATTGTATTTCTTTTTTCTGAAATAATTCGATACCAACTGAGGGAGATCCAGAAACGGAGCAACAACTAGCATGGGGCTAACCGAAGCAACAGGCATGCATACACAGTTCAATATCCGGCTCCCAACACACCATAAGTTAAAAAGGAAGAACAAAGGGCGCTATTTTAAATGTTTCAGGTGAGAAATTTAACCTGGTGACTCAATTACCTGTCCTTTTCAGGGTTATAACATTCCTCTAGTCTGTGTTTCCACTGTTCACGGCACAATGTCTAAAAACAGCGTGAAACAGAAGCCGAACGACGAATTTCCATCACAGTTTAGAGGATGAAAAGCCACAAGAATAACCCCCAGCAGCTTCTTTCGGCTGTGTCTCCCTCAGCAGGCCCACACACAGCCCGAGAAAAGCCTCTCTCTTCCACCCCAGACCACTCACTCCAAGTTCCGGGACCGGTTCCTGCTCCGCTCAGCCTCTTACAAACAGCCCCCGGTTCTCCCTGAACTGAGCCCGAATCAATGCCAGTCTCGGAGGCTCCCTGTGTCCCAGGCTCACATCTCCATCTGCTGCTGGAAGGAGCCTGCTGCCCCCTCGCTTCCCTGGGCGCTGGTCTCTCCATTGCGGTCTGTTTCAAACAAACGTCTTCCACTCACTGAGTAAATGCTCCTCAATGGCAGCGCTGGGGGAGGGCCTCACGCATGCGCTCCTCTGGGTTGTGTGTTACCATGGGAAATGCAGGGTTACAGGGAAAGGGCGGGGGATTGGGTCTGGTTGGGATGCTGTTCAGAGGGTCGGTGCGGACTTTTATTTGGACCGAAGGGTCTGTTTCCACACTGTAGGGATTCGATGATGATTCTATGAAGTTTGCTGCAGATTCGGAGCATAAATGTGAACTATATGCCAATGTTTTGTTCTACTCATGTAACCATCCTTACTGTTTTCATATAGAATAAAAGTTAGAGCATAATTTTGAATGCTCCGGTTTCCTCCCCCAATCCAAAGGTGTGCAGGCGAGGTGGATTGGCTATGTTAAATTGCCCGTAATGTCCAGGGATGTTTAGTTGAGGTGGGTTAGACATGAGAAATCAAGAGTAGGGAAATAGGTCTGGGTTGGGTCCTCTTCAGAGGGGCGGTGTGGACTTGTTGGGCCAAATGGCCTGGAGGGATTCTATGTCTGGCAGCATCTGTGAAGGAAAAACAAAGTTAACATTTTGGGTCCGGTGACCCTTCCTCAGAATTGATGGTGGCTCGGAAAATGTCAGGATATATGCAGAAAAAAGGGCAGGGGGATCGTGTTGGGAATAAACGATAGGATAGAGCCTAAAGAGAGAGAAGAGCATTTGGACAGACAAAGAGTTGATAACGATCAGGCTGGGAGGTTCAATAGTAGTTAATGGGGACTATTAGTGACTAACAGTAGGTGGTGGATAATGGCAGGATATGTGGTAACAAGGCCTTGTGTGGGGTACAGTTTAGGCCCAAAATTATTGAACTCGATATTGAGTCCGGAGGGCTGCAGGGTCCCCCAGCGGAAGATAAGGTGTTGTTCTTCTAGCTTGTCGAACAAGCTGGAACACTGGAACAGTGCAGCAAGCCAGAGACGGAGATGTTGGCCAGGGAACAGGGTGGTGCATTAAAGTGGCAGGCAACAGGTAGTTTGGGGTCTTTTGTGTGAGCAGAACATAGATGTTCTGCGAAGTGATCACCCAGTCTATGCTTCATTTCAAACTTTCAGGATTTGGACAGTCTTTGTTATTGGGCAAGAATAATGCAGACTTTTCAAAGAAAAAAAAAATGCCGGATGTGGGCATCACTGGCTGGTCTGAGCATTGATTGGCTCTCCTGAAATGCCCTTGAGAAGGTGGTAGGGAACTGCCTTCTTGAACCGTTGCAGTCTCTGAGCTGTAGGTAGACCCACATTGCCATTAGGAAGGTAATTGCAGGATTTTCACCGATTGACACAGAACGAACCGTCGATATATTTCCAAGTCAGGGTAGCGAGTGGCTTGGAGAAGATCTTGTAGATCGTGCAGTTCCCATGAACCTGCTGCCCTTGTCTTTCAAGATGGGAGTGGTCGTGGATTTGGAAGGTGCTGTCCAATTTGATATTTGAGGATGTTTGTGAATGTGGTGCCAATCAAACAGGAGCAGCCTTTTCATGGATAGTATTTTACTTGCCGTGTGTTGTTGGAGCTGCACTAACACATGTGATGGGGGCCACAGAGGGGAAACC